GGATACAGCATACATAGTGCGGAAGCAGCGGCTATCATCATTATCACTAATGCAATGAACCGTTGTATAACCAAATGTGAATTCTTTGCTTGGCTAGCACTTTGCGGATACTTGGATATAACTGTTGCTGTCCAAATTTCTCTACATAATGCCGGATTTAATTCGAATAACTTGGCTGACTAACTTTCGTTGCATTAGAGAAGGATAATTTTTGTGGCAATGTTTTGTAAGTATATCGATCTTGAATTTGTCTTAAGATGCCCATATTTAGCGCATAAATTATTGTAAGAAGTATAACTGAAATGATTTTTTGTGAATTGAAATGGAATAAAATTCATTTTGCTGTGAATATTTATCAATGATAATAATATCTAATTGTAATGATCGAACGCTTGAATTACTATGGATATTCTTAAATTAATTATCAAATTAATTAAAATGGCAATAAGTTTTTTTTTCGGCTTTCAATTTTGAAAAACTTCCCTTCCTTGTTCATATCATTTATAATTAAGGCAAAATCTGAAATAAGGAAGATTTGAAGGAAATATTTACTTAATTTTCATTAATAGCGATACTAAACGGTAGAAATTCCGCACGATTTTTTTTCATTGATAAAAATGATAAGGATAATTACCCAAAGCTGAATGACCGACAAATTTCATGAAGCATTGTAAAGATGAAAGAGATTTTTGAAAATAATTTATCAAGTTCCTTTTATTTGACATGCATTGCTTTCATTAATTTCATTCGATAAGCTTTTGTTTACATTTCGAAATATAGAATAAATTATTACTTTTCAATAAGCAAACTGATTACTCCAACATCTTCATGTATATTATTACTACCTTTTTTCTGATTTTATTCTTTGTATATTTTGTTATTGATCTAATTAATACATTCATTAGTGTTGCTAAATGTTTATTTTCTATAGCATGATTTCATATAAAGGCCCAGAATAGGAATAAGCCTTACTAAAAATAAACAGAGGAAGCCATTGCCTTGATAATAATAAGTGACTTTTTGCCATCAAATTTTTATAGCTAAAACGGATAAGTGAAATTAATTGAATAATATAAAATCAACAATTGCTATATTTATAACCTAAATAAGTTTATCACTTGATCAAAGACATTTATACATGCATATACTTAATTAATAGTTCTTTATTGATACAGTGAATTATACACAAGTAAAGATATTATCATCATCATTTATTTTAAGGATTTTTTGAGTTATCGAAGAAGATATCTAAAAAAGCAAACTATCATAACATGCTTTTGTTAATTCTTTTTTTTTGAGAAAGCTGAAATTGATAACAGATGATTTGGTAATTATACGAGAACTTTTTTTATTTTCTCCTAGACTCAAACTATTAAAATGAGTTGTTAGATTACTTATCAAACTATCATTTATTCAAGTTGTTTGAAAAAGCAAACCGATCGCGAAGTTAAATCACACATTGAACTGCGTTTATTATTATTATTACAATCCCAGGTATTGAATTTTTGTTTGAGCAACTGCAAAAATTGTTCATAATGTTAGATAAATGATTTATTACTGTTTGCAAAAACGAAGAGAATGTCAAAGTTGTTAATGAAAGAATTAGTCATTTATGCATCGATTAATTGATGACGGAAAAAATTTATAAAAAGCAATCATTTTGAACGTCAACATTGATAAAGTCGTCAAAAAGAAAAAAAAGGAAAAAAAAAAGAAATTTAACTTTTTATCATTAATTTATCGTCACATACATGGATTAAAAAAGTATTGAAAATTTACATAATTACTAGAAGAATTCATCTTAATTTTTCTTTCCAAAATATGACCACAAAATATTACCTTAAAAGCTAATTGTATTGATTTTGAAAGATTACCAATAAATGTCAAATATTTCAGGAAAATTTAAAGGAAAAATTGCAAAAAAAAGGTGAGTATTAGATGTATTTAATAACAAAAATGCCGTAAATATTCATTTTAAAGCTTAGTTCACAAAAAAAAATAAGAAAATATTAAAAAAAAACAACGAAATAAATAAATAAATAAGCAAGTGGAATAAATAAATAAATGAAATATTAAGAAGTAAATAAATAAATAATAAGTAAATAAATAAATCAGTGAAGTATTAACAAATAAATAAGTCAGTGAAGTATTAACAAATAAATAAATCAGTGAAGCATTAACAAATAAATAAATAAATAAGTGAAGTATCAACAAATAAATAAATAAATAAAATATTAATAATAATAAATGAATAAATAAGCAAATAAATGACAAATAAATAAATAAGTGGATAAACAAATAAATAAATAAGTGAAAAAATAGATGAATAAGTAAGGGAAATGCTGGCAAAAGTTAGCAAGGAAGGAAAACTTTAGACAAAATAATGGTAACAAAAAGCAAATGCGGGATGACAGTGGAACTGGTAATGAAATATAGGTGTTAATTAATCAGTTCACAAATTTGGATGGCAAATTACTACATAAAGGAAATTTGAAGAAAATGTTATCATGCAACTATTGATAACGGAATAAGGTTGACTGTAGTTAAGGGATCAAAACTAACTTAAACAAAAAGGCCAGGAAGAAATTAGCATTAGTTAGATAAAATTAGGCATTACAGATGTTTATGTTTACTATCAAATTCATATCAGTAAATGACACAGCTCTGTTATTAATATGACAAATCTATTAGTGTTGTTTTTTCGGAATCAAAATATTTCAGAATTTGGAAAACAAATTAAAACTTCGAGTATAACATTCCAAATATCAGAGACAAAAATGATTAAGGCAAAATTATCTAATTAGTTAGCATTATAATACCAGAAGGTAATAATCGATTACGGAAGGAAAAATTAAAGGTTCACAAAAATGTCAGTATGTAAGATTACCAGTAGGAGAAAAATTGTTGGCGGGGGAAAAACAGTTATCAGTTCTCTTCTCAATGATAGTAAAAGCTCTTGGTAGTGTAATATTAAGAAATTCAGAAAGCATCTGGAAATGATCAAGATAGACAAAATAAAAATGAAAGGACAAAGCAATAAGAACAATATAAGTACCAAAGAAAAAATTTTACTCGTGATATCTGAATTGTAAAATTTCAAATTTTCAGTCGAAAGATTACAAACATTGCTTTAAAATGGAAGAATGGAATTCAAAACAAATTTTAAAAAATTATGAATTTTGAAATCAGTTGATATCAGTAATTGATACCATTTTCAATTTTCAATGGTTTTAAAATTATTCATGATCTTCAAATAATTTATCGAAAGTATGCTAACAATAACTGTCAGCGCAAATAAAAAAGGCGGAGCATGTATACAGGCAGTACTGTGGTTCACCCATCAAAATTTTAAAATGTTTGAATGAATGAAGGGATCTAAAAAAAAAGGTCAAAATATTTCGTTAATATCGAAGTTGTAATATCGAGAATAAGTACGGTAACAGCGTAATGCTATTTGAGGTCAAGTAATTAATTAATGCTTATTAAGGCCAAGTAACATACATGGCTATGTCTGCTTATCTTT